AGAGAGAGAGAGAGAGTACGTGAGAGCAGGGCAGGGGCAGAGACAGAGGGAGAGACAGAAAATCCCAAGCAGGCTCTGAGTCAGCACAGAGCCGACTGCGGGGCTCTATCTCGAACTGGGAAATGGTGACCGGAGCAGAAACCAAGTCAGACGCTTAACCAGCTGAGCCACCCGGGAATCCCCGATTCCTTTTTTTTAACACACAAATAGTAACATCAATAGTCACCAAACTCTAAGTAAAATGCGCAGTGCTCTTGCAACCCTGTCTGCACCTCCCTTCCCAATTAAATGGTTTTTTATTTATTCCCAGCCCTTTCTCGTCCTTGTCCTAATGCAGGTGTAATTTTCACTTAACTGTCTCTTGGTGCAGTTCAGCGTCCACATCCTTTTCTTACTTTACAGTATTCAGTATTCTTCTACTAGGACACAGTTGACAGCCCATAAAAGTCTCTGCTTAAGTAAGAAGTCCGTTTCTGTGAACCATCATCCAGACACATGCAACACCAGACAGTGTGTCTCACATCCAAGTTTATTGACATGGTAGATTTCCCATAAGGATAGAAACACGAGCAAAGGAACCAGGAGGCACCTTCTCCCTCGGATTGCTGCACAGCGTCTCCCTTTTAATGACAAAAGCAAACAGAGGTGGGAAGCGGCTATCTTCTCCAAAGTCTCCAACTGCTCAGCCTTCAAATTAGTGTCAACAAGAAAGGAACGGATTAGCCCAAGGTCGCAACACACACGCCTTTCCTTTTTCTTAGTAAGACTGTTTTGCTCCGTCCCTCCCTGGCTAATCCCTCTCTTCCCACTACTGGAAACTCAGATATTAACCAAAGCTGTGAGTCTCTTTGCCTAGTGCTTTTCTGCTAAAGCTTGGCTGAGAGATGAATCCATGGAATGTAAGTGACCTACTGGCTCGGTTAATGACGCCTGGCCTCCCTTCCGGGGCAATAACTTCCCTCCAGTCGCTTAGCTCTGCTTGTCTCAGCTGGAGTCCACCAACAGGCTGGATACCCACTCCCTCCCCAGGAGCTGAGAACCATCCACATCTCAGGCAAGGGAGGGAAAGAGGTCAGTGAATCACAGGTGCTGATGGGCGTCTCTGTGGCTCCAACTCTACTCAGCAGGTGAGGACAGTTTTGCCGTCTTCGGTCCTGTGAGTGTCAGAGATTGAGCAGAAGTTTCAGAGGCTTTACTCTCTGTTCCCCCCAAGATTCCTCTGCTGACGTTCTGCAACCAGGCAGCCCACTCTGCCACACCACTTCTCTAAGTCTGATTCTCTGAATCTGGAAGTTCCAGGAAACCACAGGCCGGGTCTAACAATGGTACTCTGTGCACCCAGCCAAACCGTTTCTCCAGAGACCTTGGTTCTTGGTAACAATCTCTCTTCTTGGCTCGATTATTTAGCGAGAAGCTGGGGCTGGATAAGATGGGTTCCACGGCTCACTGGGGTTGGCCATTAAAGTGTCTGGAACACTCCTGGTTGTACTCAGATCCCCCGTGAGCTCCATGCTTGTGCTCTGGTTGTTATCTGGCCCTTGTGGTGTCTTCTTCCGCAGGCAGCGGTTGATCAGGGTGGAGAAGAAGTTGGGAAAAGATGGGCTGGAGAAGTAGTACACCAAAGGGTCCAGCATGCTGTTCATGTAGGTGAAGCTGAGGGTGATGAAAAACGCCAGGTCAACCGAGCGATAGACATCACAGTTCTTCGTACCCGTGGTGTGCAAGAGCCAGAAAATGCGTATGCGCACAGCCACGCTGGGCAGGAAGCAGATGATGAAGACAATGGCCACCACCATGATGAAGTTGATGGCCCTCTTGATCTTGGCGTGTCTGTCCATTTGCCGCTGGCGCAGGCTGCAGATGATTCTGGCCGAGCAGAACAGGATGATGCCCAGGGGCAGGATGAACTCCAGGAGGAACATGGCATCGTGCCACCTGAAGGTATGGCAGATGCTAAAGCTGCTGCACAAATTCGCATCTCGATTCCTGATCAACATCTTTTTGTGCAGGAGGTGACCCGTCAGGCCGATGGTGACACCCCACAAGAGGCAGGAGATGATGGCCGCCGTCCGATTGGAGATCTTGTTCAGTGCGTGGTGGGGATGGACCACCCGGAAATACCTGTCCACGGCCACCACGGTGAGGAAGATGATGCTGCCCTGGCGGTTCATGGCCAGCATAAAGAGCATCAGCCTGCAAGGGATGTCCCCAAACTTCCAGTCCCACTTCCTCACGTAGTTGTCCGTCAAGAATGGCAGGCAGATGATCAGGAGAAAGTCGGCCACGGCCAAGTTGAACAGGAAAATCCGGCTGGATTTCCAGGACTTGAGGTGGAAGCAGAAAATCCACAGGGCAAGGCCATTGCCCAGGAGCCCGAACACAAACTCCAGCCCCAGCACTGGTGGCAGCACATTGGCAATGAAGTCATCCCGGAACACACAGCAGTTCTTCTTGTCTATTTCCAGAAAATGATTCTGCTGCTGGTGCAGGTTCATGAGTGGAGCGAGTCAGTCCTAGGGAGCGCCTCACCTAGCGAATGCCCAAGGAAAGAGGTGTGTGTCTGAGTGGCGAATGTGAGGTTCAGCTCCCGCCTTTATGTCATGTCAGGGTGTTGAAATAGATGACTGAATGGTTACCAGGAAGCTACGAAATCGTTTAAAAAAAAAAAAAAAAAGCCAGCAAGGCTCTTATGCAATCTGCTGTTTGCATAAACAAGTAATAAAAATCCCCTGGGCAGACAGGAACCCACAGCTTCCTAAATGTAAAGGATAAGTTTAGGCAAGCCAACTGCCATTTGTGAATTACTGAAACGTGGAAGGCATCCCTTTGGAAGGCTGTGTGCCTACATACTGAGTACTTAACATTAGAGAATTAAATCACTGGCAGCTTGTTGGCTTACATAATGAACAAAACAACAATGGCAATAATAATTTCCTGTGCTAAGCAGCATGGTTTTCCAGAAACATTAAGAATGAGTATGGGGGTGCCTGGGTGGCTCAGTCGGTTGGGCGTCCAACTTTGGCTCAGGTGATGATCTCTCAGTTTGTGAGTTCGAGCCCTGTTTCAGGCTCTGTGCTGATAGCTCAGAGCCTGGAGCCTGCTTCAGATTCTGTGTTTCCCTCTCTCTCTGACTTGTGCTCTGTCTCTCTCTCTCAAAAATAAACATTAAAAAAAAAGAATGAGTATGAAGCTTTAGCATGTATATGATTTAAGAAACAGTAT